CGTGCCCACGAGGATCACTACACAAAAATATGCATCTTTAAGCGTAGCCATGCATGGGTAGTGTCAGTCTATGTCTACCACCTAGAACGGTGAAATTTACGTTGAAACACGGGATATCGGATAACATGGGTGTTTACCGCATGTCGTTTGTACGTTCACCATTTTTCACCCATGATGCGTAAGCCCTCAGGACTTGGTGTCCTACTCCATCATGATGGATGGTCACCAAGAGATTAGTGACTGGCCGTTTGCCTTTCACTTCTTGCAAAAGACACAGCAACTGGCCATTCGTCCAGACACCTGACCAGAAAACAGGTTGGAGGATGACGATGATGATGAAGAACAACATGCATATGATGAATAAGTTGATGATGATGATTATTATTACTTTTATTATTTGTATTATTATTGTTGTTATTGTTGTTGTTATTATGGTGATGATGACGATGATGCTGATGGTGATGATGATGATGATGATGATGATGATGATGATGATGATGAACATGATGAACATGATGAACATGATGAACATGATGAACATGATGAATATGGATAATATTTATAATATGTTTAAGAGTAAGTTATATAAGATTAATACCATGAACATAATGAATAATTAGAAGAAGTTGATGATGATCATGAAACATGATGATCATGATGATGATTATTATTATCATTACTATTAGTTATTGTTTTATTATGATGTCAATGTCCCTGTCCACGGCCCTAACAGTTTCATGAGTTTGTGCGAGGATCCAGCGCTGTTTCACATCGCCTTGAAGAACTTGGAGGTGCCGACTTCGCTTGGGGGGAGTTTTTTCTGCATCAATGGCACGTTAAGAGACCAGTTTTATGCTATTGTGGGTCAACAGCTCGAATTATCATTTTTTGAGGATGAACATCCATACATCCCAGCTATTTCATAGGGTTCAGACAGGGTACCAATAGGGTTTTGACCCATAGGCCCATTTTTTCCGGATGACTTGCTTGGAGCCTTAGATCCTCAAACTGAGTCTTAATCGAAAGTGCTGGAAAAGTACCCGCTACCATCAATGATAGGTATATTACTATAATATCCCCATGGAGAGTTTGGGATGCAAGTTTGTGCCCCCAAGTCAAAAGACCAACTCCAAGTCCAAATTTATCCTATCACAACATGATTTCTCCGCAGGACAGCAAGCGTTGGACATCATCCTTATCCATCTTGTCTGCACAAAAATCTCTGGGCCAGGTGGCCACTGGAGTTCTTCAGCCAAATGATGGGGGCGTGGCAAATGGGCCAGAAAAAGTGCTCGCAAAATTGCAAAAGATGTTCTGAATTTCAAGATGTACAGTGCTGTGCAGAGGAGGTTAATTTCACTTGTCGGATCTTATCAGCATTCAATTAACCAACTTCCTATCAATTTCAGACTTGCAACATCTTTCAATTTCTTCGAAATTCTCAGATATCTTTACTTTTGCCCAACCCCACTTATCTGCCAAAAGCTGTCCCTATATAATATAATATATATATATATATTATATATTATATTATTTATATCTTATATTATATAATCCTATCTTATATTTTATTATATTATATTATTTGTTTTTATATTATACTATATTATAGTATATTATACTATATTATACTATACTATATTGTATTTTATTATAGTATAGTCAATTTTATTATATTATATCATATTAATTATACTGTATTTTTATTATACTATTCTATTTTATTCTATTCTATTATATTATGTTTTATTATACTATATTGTATTATGTTATACTATACTATATTGTATTATGTTATACTATACTATATTGTATTTTGTTATACTATACTATAGTGTATTATGTTATATTGTATTAGATTGTATCATATTAAATTATATTATTTTAAATCATATATATATCATATATATATATATATAATATATCATATATATATATATCATGTATATATAATAGTTTATTTTATATATTATATATTATATTATGCGTTATATATTATATATTATATGTTACATATTAAATATTGTTTATTATAATATATATATATATATCATTTTATATTATATTATATTATATTATATTATAATATATATATATTCATGTATGTATACGCCTATGATAACATCATTCAACATCCATCCCTTTGGGATTTGGGACCCCCATGCCTTCGCCCCCAAGGTCTCCTACGCCCTCACTCTGGGCTCCTTCGGATCTTCGCCCCGTTGGGCCATGGCACTGCAGCTGATGGAGGGAGCAGAAGCCACCGGGCAGAAGCCGCAGCAGGGCAGCTTCACTGCGCTGCTGGGTCAGGGGATCCAAAGGGGACCCACAGGGCCCACGGGGATAGAGCTGAGAATGGGTGGAACTTCTTTTTGGGGTTGGCTGGGAGTTCCGGGAATCCCCAAATGGCCGATTTTTTGGAACAGAGTCTTGGAAGTTACTTCAACAAGTTAGCAACGTAGCATCAAGAGCGTGGTAACACGAACGTTATTGCCCACCCCACCCCACCCCAACTCCAAAAAACGCGTTTTTACACGTACGGAAATCAAGCAGTAGGCATAATAAACATGCGCACCGTACAATACTATACAATTATATATATATACAATTAATTTTACATATTATTGGACCCCATGAAATTCTCCCTTCATGCTTTGACATCCCAAAACTCAGCTTTGCATTGCCAGACTCTGTGGAATGGCAGACATCGCTGCAGCTCTGTCGAAGGACTTATGGCGGCTTCACTGGGGTCTACGACCAAGTGCGACCATATATGGGGATGGGTCAAAACCTATTACCGTATGGGCCTCATGTGGTGTTGCACATCCATTAACCAATCTATTTTAGGGTACGATGCTATTGTTTTGACTCATAGCCATGTCAATATAGGCATGAATATGATTGTATCTAACATGTGTATATATATACACATATTTTTACAGATATATCGAAATTTATGTGTGCGATAGTATATGTATATCGGAATATCGATCAGCAAACATGATTTTATTCAGTCTCCATGAGCGATTGATTCAACATGAAAAAATACATCTGCGCAGGTGTTTCACAGCCACTGCTCCGAGGTTCTTGAGTCCTTCCGGTTGGACCTCCCCTTTTTATGGGTCAATATTCCTAGGCCATGGGTGCCATTGCGCAATCTTGGGCGCGCAAGGATGAAGATGGTCTCGGTGCTTCAATCTGCACAGTCGACCAACAAGATCATGTCAACCTTTCGAGAGGAGTGGTCTCTGGCATCAGCTCCCAAGCAGCAATGGGGGGCCAAAATGGCCATTGTTGAGGGGAAAAAATATGATAACCTATAGGAATGATGGAGTAAGGAGCGGGCAAACTCATGTCAGTTGGTTGGCTATGGGGTAAGGAAATGCAATGAACCGAATTTCAGAAAGAATCATTTCATCTGCTTGGTGGGCTGAAATATTGTTCGATTTTCTAACCTAGCTGCGATGATCCCGTGGGGCAGACCGACTGTAGATTCTTGAATTTGATCCTCCAGAAATTCGAGATCGGGTATGTTGGCTTCATATTCCAGACAGGACATCACAGGACCAAAATATTTTTGATTATGTGTTTTGTTTGTGTCAATCATCAATTTATTTTACCTCAGGTGCTCAAGTTTGACCCATACCAAATTTTTTTACGTTTCCCATGTGGTAGGTATCCATATTCACAGAGGTAGTTGGAGATGATTTCTTCATATGGTCGATTTGAAAATCTCAATTTGTTCTAGTCATATCAATCCAAATCTTGGTTAATCCCAATCCAAAAATTAGATAATGTGACTATATATATGTAAAATATTTTTATTATTGCAATTAAAATTGTTAATCCCCATTTTTTGCAAAACATTTCATCAAAAAAGAATTTCCCCATATTTGTGCGGTGGTACAACTATAGTACAGTATAACTAGTAGACCCCCCACATTGAACATTTTATGGAAGTATCATCGCCCCATTTTTTGGATGTGGTATAAATATAGTAAAACCCCCGACACAATTATGATTATCCCATTATTATCTATACTTAATTTTTATCCCATTATAATCCATAATTAATCATGATTTCGCAACCCATCAACATATAATTCTCATTAATAACGGATATATTTTGGGTGTAGTATAACTATGATATAACCATGTATAACCAGTAAAACCCGAAGAACACATCAACCAACATAGGCTTTCTCCCACCTCAGGATCTGCTCCAGGGCCTGTTTTTACGTCGGCTGTCGCCCTTGCCCCGTGCTGACGCGACGCACGTCATGCCTGGACCGTGGCGGCGAGCGTTGGCGCTTGGAAAGGACTGGCAGTCCGGGGGGAAGTGTGATGTTTGAATTTTCGACCAGCAGAAATTTGGTTTTTAGATGTTTTTACCAGCAAACTTTGATATTGAAGCAGACAATTTATTTGAAGGGGTAGTTTTTTGTTTCACTAGATCTGGTAGTTAACCAGATATTAAGAGAATAATCGGCACTGGACAACATGGATCAGCCGAAATTGGGATACAAAGCACCAACTTACTCCAAATAGAGCAAAGAAAAAATGGATTTGTGTAGCAACGGCTGAAAGTCCATTGTCTATGGAGAACCATTACAGCCACCAAAAGACATCAAGAAACGGTTGATACAGGGCCAAGCATCAAACTGATGGTCCAAACAAATAGTTTTGGAATTCATTGATTAAATGGTATTGCAAATTCTCCAGAGATGCCTTCATTCGCAAGGTCCAAACAAATGTCCATCGTGGGAAGAAACGATAGCTGCTTAGGTGTTTCAGTACTTCTAGAATTCCAGTGCAAAAACTGACCCTAAGTATATACTATGATATATTATTATAGTGCAATATCCAAAAATCCATGATATATGACCCCCATTTCCCATGATGGTTGGTGAATTGGTTAATTCTGGCACCTGGCAACCGTGGCCCTACGGTGCCAACGTCAGTGACAGGACTGAAGGACTGTGACCCTCCAATTTTGGTGTTTCCAAGGGTGCTTTGAATGTCTAGGAGATGAATAGGCTTTGTTCACTATGAATCAGAAAAATGTCTATGAACCATGCCATTGATCAATCATGAGTCAGAAAATCCCCTGAATGTTCCATTGCAAAAAAAAGCATTATTTCATGAAATAATGCTTCACCATGGGAATTTCGCATCTTTATGAAATCCCCACCCTTCGAGGACCGCTGGCTGACGTCCTTCAGTTGGTCCTTAGCTATGCTCCTGTTGAACCAGGAGCATCATTTGTGGGGACAGGAACTGCATGATGACTGATGACTCATGAGGTAAACCGAATCTGGCTGGTGGTTTCAGACATTTTTCATTTTCCATAATATATGGGATAATCCTTCCCATTGACTCATATTTTTCAAGATGATAAAAACCACCAGCCAGGAATTTTATGAGATGTTATGGAATATTTTGGGATGATACGGGATACTCCTGGGAAAATAGAGGAAATTCTGGGTTTTTCAAACAACAATCTTTAGCCATCCCAGATTGGGGGGGGTTGTGACTTGGGTATACCCCTATTTGGAATGATGTAAAAGGAACCCGTAATGGATGGTTGATTGGAATAGTTTATGACTGGGTTTGCCACTAACTATCTGCAAATATATTTATATATGTAGACATCTGTATACAACTGGATGGAATATCACAAATAATTACGGTGAGATGTTGTTTATTCTCAACCCTATGATGATAATCGCACTTGACTGATGTTTTTCCGACGAGTTGAAAAAACCAACGAGTATACATAACTGGACGCTAATGTGGCAACTGGGTAACGCTGATATTTATATACACAGTATATGCCAGTCTGTATTATATGCATATGATATAATATAATATTATATATATATATGTGTAGTCATTGGATAACACACTTGGTGACATGGCACCACCGGGTATATAGTTACATTTGTTTGGTGAATTATTTTCGGTGTCTCCACCACGACCTCATCACGACCCAAGACATCCCAAAAGCGGCGCCGCATGAAACGTCGGCAGTTCATGAGCCCATGAAGTCCCAACTAAACTGAGGAACTAACCTCACTAAGCAGCAAAGCTCGGGAATTGTTAGCGACACATATTTGACGCGTGGAATCAGTTGAAGCCATAGATTGTCATATTGGGGCTTCTTAAATCATGGATATGGCTCAAATTATTTAGCCCCATGTTGGGATTGTAAAAAACATGTTGGCTTAAACAACCACACTCAAACATACCAAGTTGGCGTGCCCACAATGGGGGCTGTCATGGAGAGACACTGCAAACTAGCTCTTGGAGATGACAGTGTGACGCTCAATGACTGAATGACCTTTGGTAAATTGCTGGAGCCCATTTTGGTATATTTTGGTTTATTTTGGTTTATATTGGTTATATTTTGGTTTATTTTGGTTTATTTTGGTATATATTGGTTATATTTTGGTTTATGTTGGTTTATTTTGGTATATATGGGTTATATTTTGGTTTATGTTGGTTTATTTTGGTATATATTGGTTATATTTTGGTTTATGTTGGTTATATTTTGGTATATTTTGGTCATATCTGTTCTTATTCCCAAGTTCGCGATCATAGGGTCGCGAAGGGCTGGTGAGCGCAGGCGCTCGTTTCGTTGATGAATTTCGCAGCCACAGGCGGTGAGTTTGGAGACCACAATGCACAACGCCGTGGTGAGCGCCTGCGAGTGCACCAGCAAAACAAGTGGGTTGTCTACCTGGTGATTGTCTAATGGGGATCATAGTCCAGAGAAGTTGAAACCAGTGCCATGTGTAATATATACATATATTTATATTTATATATATATATATCATATGTTTGTATAATATACAGTTGTGTTGAGGTATGGGATGGTAGGGAATGAGTCCTGGGAGAGATTGATTTGGATATGACCTTGGACTCAATTTGCGAGGTATTTAGTTGTCCATGTTTCCTTCCACTCTGCCTTGTTTTGGTGAGTCTCTAGGTGCAGGCTGCCAGAAGCACCGAAGATATTGACTTTTCGAAATCTAAGCACTTTTTCTGAATTTATAAAAGGATGCTCTGACCTACATTTAGAGTGAGATTGGAACCTCAATATGTTTACTTTTAAGACATTCCAGGAGCACACATTTCAAGCTTGTCCAAAAATGGTGAATACCCCAAGTTGCGGCCATTGGCTACCAAAGATGAAACCAGGCGATAAACCAGGCGATTCAGCATGGCGCAAAACTATATATTTATTATATGGGGGTAGGTACAGCCCTCCAAAATACTGGTTGGTGGTTTGGAACATGATTTTTATGTTTCCATATATTGGGAATATTAATCATCACATCTGACTTTCATATTTTTCAGAGGGGTAGGTATACCACCAACCAGTAATGATATGCCAAAATCTACCAATGACCCCAACGTCTTTGGTCGCCGAAGCATGGCTTTTCCGTGCTGAGGAAATCCACGCGTTGGACGTGGGCCATGGAGCTTTTGCAACGCATCACGACTGTTGGTCGACCGTCTACGGCGTCCTTCAATGCTGCCGTTCTTCGGAAGCAGTGTGATGAGATGTGATTAGTACAGCATTTTGTACAGCAGAAATCCAGGTTTTTCAGAATTTGCTTCACACTTTTGTTATAGCAAATGCTGTTTCATGTTTTTTTCAGTTAAGTTATGTAATTACTTGTTATACGACTTCACATGGAAACCACAAAGAAGACATGAGTTATCTTTGGAAATTGTTCCAAGCCTCAGGCCAGTGCATCTTTTGGACATTGGGGCATCGTTTTGGACATCTTTCAACGACTTTCGCAACGGCACCTTCAAGCAACAGCGCCTCAGATTACATAACAAGTGAGAACCAGGCTACAATGAGATGGTTGGCTTCAGTTGGCTTCAAAACACAATCTCTTCGTAAAACTGTTCCTGTTTTTCTCGATCCGCAGATTTTCATCCCAGCGCCAAAAATGATGAAACATGTCTCACCTCCTATTCCTCCTTATATCTGCAGGCTTTTTCCTTCACAACAGCGCTGAGCAGCTGCGAGAAATGCCACGCCTGGCAAAGGGCCCTGGCGATTTTGGTCGACCAAGCGCCGGCCAGAGTGGCGGTTTTCAATGCAGCCATCAGCAGTTCCTGGGACGTCTTGCGTGGCGCATGCGCAGGGTGTGTGATGGAAAGATTTTGTTACGGATTACATGAGAGTAGCAAGATAGAAGCACTGTGAATTTGCGATTAAAATATGGATGAAGCAAATCATAAGATGTATGATGATTGGCTAATATTGGCTATGTAATCTAGCAGACATGGGCCGACATTTTGGTCTTTGATGTTCTCCCAGGGATCTCGGATGGACATAACTGGTACGGGACGAAGCAGCCAGCAGGCATATGTACCGGGCCAACAGTCCAAGATCAGAAGCCTTCCATTTCACGATGGGCCCATGGTCATCGGTGGTTTGACATCCTGGTCTTGCTTCCCCTTGTCTCAATTGTTGAGCACCAAAAAGATGCACCAAAAGACCAAAAGGGCTGTGCCAAAAAGACTGCACCATACTGCAGGTTGCGAAAGAGGAAGACAGTGGCGAAAAGCCTTGGCTCTGTTGTTTGACATGGACCTCTTTTCTATCGAGAAGGACTGGGTCAAAATTTCGGTACACGGCAGGATGTTTTTGTTAACCTTTTGATGGAGAACTGCTTCACATTCCACAGAAAATACTAACTTTTCTGCAGAAAATTCCAGGATCTTGTGATATTCTTGAGATCACTGAAACAAACATAATGGATAATAAGAGATCGAAACCTGATTTATATTGATTTATCACGATTCGTAGATATATTTACAATTATTAAATTATTTACATATTATATAGTGGGATTTTATTTTTTTACCTGGCACAATAATCATATAATGTCTCATAAAGTGACTGAGATCGGCATATGGTAACATACACATAGAGCAAAATTTATATAATCAAGTATGTCTTTTCTGAACATACTGTATCAACTATAGCTTGAAATGGGCGAGCTGTTTGCAATAGTTCAATCACAGTATATACTCACAATTATAGTTCTACAGGGCAGATGAGAAACCCAACAAATTGTGTACTTGGTAGTTCATAGCCTCAGCTACGAGTGCATTAACCCTGCTGCTTATCCTATTTATAATCAGGGACAAAACCTACATACTAAGTAGGGTGAGCCATGGTGAGCCACCAAGTAATGATGTTCACCAGTTCAACAACCCATTTTTGGCGCAAGCCAGGTCCTGATCCACAGCACAGGATGTCATCAGTTTAAACTCTGCTATCAGCTGCTGCGAAAAATGTAGCCCCTTTGGCAAGATTGGCTTTGCCTCTGATTTTCAATATCAAAACGGCGTAAAATGGCTTTGAAACGAGGATGAAACCGCGGATTCCTTGATGAAGAGATAGTGAGTTGGAAGAATGGCAGACGCGTGGATGCAATTTTAAAGGAACATAGTTGAGGATTGGTACAGACTCCAATGGCATATATACAGACGGGCTCTGTTGCTGTGTTTTTTCTGGCAAGGTCGCTGGTGCGAATCTCTTGCTCTTCTTCATGATATGCGCTCCTGGGTAGATATGATGACGGACGGTGAGCCAGGACGCTTACATTCTTCACTAATATAAGGGACTCAGGGGTGCATTATATACAGTATTACATAGCAAAAAGAGAAGGTACATATCCGGAAGATCCGGAAGCACAAAGTGATCATTTTTGTCACTAGACATCACTAAGCCATCCAGATGAGAGTTTGATGTTCTTGAGCCATAGCCAAAGAAAAGATGTGTTGCCCCAAATTCCGCGCGAGAAAAAAAGCAATGGATGATGTTCAACTTGAGTGGTCTCACGTGTCTTCTTTACATGTTCAGTTTTTCTATGCTGTTCATCACCAATTGGGTGATCTTCGCATATCTTTGCTCATATCTTGACTGCAGCAATATTGGGATTGGGGATTGGCGAGCAGCCCAAGCATTATCACCTGTGCCTATTTAAACCTCTTGCTGCTGGCAAATCTGAGGTTTCCAAGAACTTTTTCCGGACATGTTTTCCATCAACTCAGCATTGCTCAGTTGCAGAAATGCGCACAGGCGCAGCGGTGCAGCGCCCCCAAATGTGACAGGACCTGTCGTTTAAGTGTCGATAACCTGGGATTGAAATGGATTTTCCAGAGGTTGTAGCTCATGACATACCCATATGCTCCATGTATGGTATATTTACCTACATTTGGGTGATTATTAAAGCAAATGTAGGTAAATATACCATACATGGAGCATATGCCATAACAGTCTTTGTTGATCGGCCTTTGGTTGGCGGAATTGACAGGTCCTTCAAGTGTTTTCAAATGTTCCGTGGCTCGAAAATAAGAACCCCTCATAGTTCCTGAGAAGGGACTGAACCCCTCAAATCATTCTTGAGATACTTTCCAACCGAAGCTACTGCTGGATCCAAAAAAAAAGGGGTTGGCAGGGTGGCAACCGATCAGTTCAGGTGGCGCGAAGCATTGGATCTTTTCAATTGTGTCAAGCAATTTTCGTTGCAAGCAGATGCCCTTTCGTGGGATTTCGTTTTAGCTGCTTGTGAAGACTCTTGGTGAAGGAAAAGCCATGAAAAGCCACTCGGGATCACATCAGCGACGAATTGTTGACACTTAGAAAGGATTGATGCTTAGCCACGCACACGCAGGTTTTTGGGATGTTTCACGATTGGATGGGTGCACAGTATATAATATCCCATTGAAACACATGTCAACCTCTAGTGGATCCGTTTCTATCACCATCGGGGCAAAGATCCCACCTTTCTGCCATCACACGACCCGATGTGCACTCCATGTTTGGATCAACAACGAAAAACTGAGGAGTGTGGTCAGTGGATGCAAGCAAATGCCTTGCTCTTGAAGTTGCGGGAACTTTCGGACTTGCAGTTCTTGAGGCCGTTTGATACTGGCTACTCGGCAGATGAGCATGAATATCAACACATTTGTTGCAAGTCTGATGGGTGATTTTGAAGATGTCATCGTATTTGTTTCTTACTGGCATGATGATGCTCCATGGCCCATATAGCCAATATGTTCAGTGGTTTTTTTTCTATTGAACCACTTGCATCTACTTCGATTCCGGACTGTTGTGATATTCAGGATATTCAGGTGGTATAGAAACCACTACTGGAATCTACTAGTCACAATGATCACTTGGCATCAGGGGAATTATAATGAATTATATAGTGTTATTGTTTTTAACACTGTATCACATCTATTTATAATATCACTAGTAACTTGTAACAGTAATCCCCATAAAACCATTGTCCATAGTATTTCTAATTGTCCAACCACTATATCATATCAACCCGATTGTTACCCAAAAATGTGACCCAATTATGCTTCTTCACTATATTCACTACCATTAAACAACTAAACAAGCACATCTAGCCCATTATGAAAATCGCATGTCCCCTGCGTGGTTCCGCTGGGTGAATTTGGGCAGGAAACCTCCATATTTATCATATGTTATTGTAAAAACCATGGTTTCCGGTTAAGATTTTCCCTTAAACGAATCCAATGAATACTCCATACACCAAGTTTTCACTGTGGTACGTCGAGTTTGGTGAGCCGTTGTGGTCACTGAGGATTTTCGCGCAACTCTCAGACTTTGACGTTTTCATCTGCGGTTTGTCAAAAGAATGCAGGAACGTTGCAGCACCCTTGAATATTGTATTTTGATGTATATTGTAATATATATAATTATATATATACTATATATTTTTATAATATGATATGATATGATATGATATACTGTATATTTTGATATGTTATGTATTATTTTTACACATATAGTTATATATAATTATAGTTATATATATAATTATAGTTCCTCTACGTTTTATTTCTATAATTATCTTATGTCTTGTATAAAGTATACTTGTATTATGAATATCGCACTAGTTCGTCTTATTCGTTACACATTGTCCACGAAGAGTTGCCAACTGTCGTGCATAGCTACCGTTGATTGACCAGAGAGAATGGACCAAGTTGATTCTCTATAGTTCTCTATAGTCAGGTTTTAGTTCACCATGTTATATATATATATATAATTTGAATTCACGATTGCCACAATTTATAGTTGATTCTTGTAGGTTTTCACTTCTCTGGTGATTTGACCATTGAACATTGCCATTCATAGTTGATTTACCCATTCAACAGTGGTGATGTTCCATAGTTGGTTCCATGTTTCACCGACCAACTTTCCATGCCGTCTCCTGTCGGCTGAAGCTTTTCACTGGGGGGCCGGGATCCACAATGTTTGGTGGACGGATTTCCAAGGTGCCGATGGATTGGGATGGAGTTGTTGAGCCAATTTGCTTATTGAAAGCTACGAGGTGGTGCCCCCCAAAAAAGATGAAAACCATGGTGCTTTAACAAAGAAAAAATGTGATCTAACCAACAAAAATGGCATTAGAATGGAGATATAATGGTATATGGTG